GCATGTATCATATATATAAAAGCATGGGTAAGGATGTAGAAAGATACTTAGTAAGGTGTTAATAGTCATCTTTTAATGAATGGGGTTATTGGCTTTTGTCTACCTTCTTTAAGTATACAGTTTAAGAATTTAATGATAAAAAGTCACACATGTTGTTTCCCCCCGGAAGTGTTGGTTTTACTAAAAACACACCCTCTAAGAATCCCATACATGAAAGTTGGAACTTCAATCAAGAACATGTCAGAGACAAGCTGCTTGAGCAAGAAAATATCTGAAAAGCAAGCTCTCCTAGAAGAGAAGCAAGGCCTCCTTAACAGTTTACGAGCACACACCTGTTAGGAGCACATACTGCCAGTGCCTTTCACTCTAGGTCTCTCTGTAAGCTGTAAAAGCAAACAGTTTAATGGCAAATACATACTCTATCCAGATTAAGGTGCCACAGATTTATAAACGTGTAAAAACACTAGACTTTGTTTTGGGGTTAAGGTGAGAAAAGGGCTTGCTAAACAGTCTCTTTCCCAGAAGCAAGTTTTCTTACTCACTCATTCCCTGGGACAGAAGGTCAAACAGCGTCTCTGGTTGGAATCATAATGTTTCGGCCTGAAGTGACCAGGCCACTCACTACTTTAGTTACCCAAGCAGTGTCAAAGGAGCTCACCTCATAGTCTTTCCTTGGAAGAATCTCATCCTCCTCCTCCTGTGTTTCTCCAAGGATGGTCTAGAAAAACAGATCCGCAGAGGGAGCCCTTTTTAGTGGTTAAGAGTGGAAGGAGGTAGAAGTATTTACTGAAATCAGTGGCTAGCTTCTACATCACCTGGAGCCATTATCAAATAGGAATCAGCCCTTAAAAAAAACCTTTCGGAGGTGAGGGACCATGTGGGTGAGATCTACAGCCATCAGCTGAGCTCTATCATTTCCACTCATAGAATCTCCAAATAACCACCCTCCTCCTCAGGACACCTCAAAGATGTCCAATGCCAGCTGAAGAGGGGAGTAAAAATTCAGGTTCCATTTGACAATGTGACGTATCTGAAATCAGAAAGGACTTGTCAACTCTGGGAACACAACTCGGGTTTTCCCAGGACGCTTTGCAAGGGGAAGCTGGACTGTCAGTGACCCAGAAAGGGTGAGGGATAGAGTAAGAACAAACTGGAGAAGCTAAAACAGCAGCATGATAAGCACAAAGTCCTGTGAGGAAGCTCATTCTGAAAACGCTTGTTTCATTCCAAACTCTTTTCAGATGGAAATAAAAGGAAACATGGGTGGGATTTACTGGAGCTGACCTGGATTCTCCCTCAGATTCCAGGAGGGGTTATAAGAAAAGACCCCAGACTTAGGCACGTGAAGCAGGGTAGACGCTTCGAGAGCCGGGACTGCGGTCCCCAGACCCCACCGGCTACCACCTGCGGGCCCAGATTGGCCCGGCCCCACCCCCGGCAACGCCTCTCGCAGTCCCTTAGCAACCGCCCCCTCCCCAGCCCGGCTCCGCCCGCTCCTTACCAGCTCCTCGGGGGTGCGGGTCTCACGCTCACCGCAGCAGCAGCACCACCTGCAACAGCAGCACAGAGACCCCCTGCACCCCGCCATCTTCCTCCTTTACTGCCACTCTGGACCCCTCTACCACCCCCTCCCACCCAGGATCTGCGCCTCACGTGACTGGTCCCGGGACGGTCACGTGGCCCTCTCGAGCTCTGGGACTGAGAACGGGAGTGGCTGCAGACGGGTGGGGCGACGGCTCGCGTCACATGACGGTAAAGACACGGCCTCCAAAGAGACCCGTGGGCGCGGCCATGTTGGAGGCGGGGCTTCCGGTCACCCGCACCGGTGGTTTCCGCCCTGTCGGGCCCGCCTCTCCAGCAACCTGACACTTGCGCCTCGCCCCTCATTGCGTTCCCCGCCCCCACAGAGGCCACGCTGGTGCCGCCGGCGGGCGAGCGTTCTGAGTCACCCGGGACTGAAGGGTGAGTGTCGGCGAGGCCGGGGTCGCCGGGAGGGAGATCCCGGAGCCGGCGAACAGCATCCCGGGGGCAAGGACGTGCTCGTGGGCGGGGGGCGCTGGAGGCCGGCCTGCCTCTCTTCTTGGGAAGGGCTGCCGCCCCCCTCCGCGCACCCTTCGCGGGATTAGTGTAACTCCCAGTGGCTACCACCTCCAGCGACCGTCAACCCTCAGGCGAAGACTCACTTTCGCCCCCTGCCTGGACGGAGGGGGCCCCAGGAATGAGGGGCCCCTGAGCCAGAGGTGACGATCCCGCCCCCCTGACCGGCCCAGACCCGTGTCCTCGCCCCCATCGGTGACCCAGTGACCTGGTGACTCGATTCTCGGCCGTCTGGGCGCCGAGACGGCTTCCGGCTTCTGCCTTTTAAACCTGCCTCCACGGCGAGCACCTGGAGAAGAGCGCTGGGCCCGGGGCACTGCGGTCCCTGGCGACCGCTGCGTCCCGCTGCGCACGGGGGTCCACCGGGACCTTTCTGGGAGTCGTGGGCTTAGTGTCCCAGTGCTTGGCGCAGACTAGGTGCTCAGTAAATGACAGAGGCTTATTTTAAGAGAGTGGCAGCGCCTGGCCCTTTGGCGCTCAGTGAATGCTGGCTATCACCGTGTGCCAAACTCTGGGGATACTCCAGGCAGGACACCGGTCCTGGTCTCAGGGAACTGGGAAAAGAGAAAGGAGACAGGCCTTTAACCCAGTTACAACCCAGGGTGCTATGGGAATCCAGCTGGTAACGGATAAATCGTGGGTGTTGGCTTACAAATATGGCACGTGCCTGGCATATACTAGGAATGCAATAAGTCTTTGAAAATCAGAGAGTTTGCAGGTGGTTCAGCCTCCTCCCACTCTAGGTTCTGTTCCAGCAGGCAATTAACAAGGTGCTCCCTTAAATGCTGGAGAAAGGCCAACTGGCTGCTCTTGCTGTTACCCCTCTCCCCACCCCACCCCCAACCCCCATTCCTCACTCCCCACCGCCATCCCCACTGAGAATCTGGAGTTTGAGGTCTGAATGAAAGAGAGTAGCCCTAGGGGGAGAAAGCTTTGGCCCAGGGTTCTTAGTCTGGAATCAACTCCTTGTCTTTGGACGCATCCACGCCTAGTCTGTGCTCCTGTGCGTGTATTTCAGGGGCGAGAAGCAATGCATTTAATCAGATTGTCAAAAGAGTCTAAGACCCCAAATGGTTAGGTACACGGGGTTAGTGGTGGACAGTCTGAAAGAAATGAACCTGACCTGGTCTTTCCTCTGTTGTGCCATGTTACCACACACTGATTCACTACTGTGTGTTTGCCCATTGCTGTGCAAGTGTTTTGTTTTTTTAAGTGTTTGTCTTATTTTCTTCACCAGACTGCCAGATGGCACTATGCCCTCTGTTGGCCTGACTGTGCCCTGGTGGCTCTGATTACTTGTTTCTGTTTTTTTTTTTTTTTTTTTTTTGAGACGGAGTTTCGCTCTTGTGCCCCAAGCTAAGCTATGAGTGTGTATATGTGTGTGTATGAACGTTTGTGTGTGAATGCATACACAGGTGGTTTCTTGTTTTTGTTTTTTTTTTTTTTTT